CGAAAGTGCCCCTCCAGGCGAAATGCCTAATTGTGATGTTGATTTTAATTAAGCGAACCGCGCAAAAGGGGAGGCTCATTAGTCACTGGCAAAGCTAGAAATCGCATGCAGCTGCATTTGCAGTTGGCTTTAGTCAGGGAAATCAGAACGCTTCTTCGGCAACAAACTTGACCCCAAGAAAAAGAGAAATTTGTGGCAAGCGAAAAAAATGAGGCTCAAAACAAAATCAGCTCACGATCTTCCACAGTTTCTGTTGCTAGTAAAGCTGTGCTGCTGGGTCACTCCACATATGGCTACTGGCTACTGGCTACTAGCAACTAGCAACTGTAGCTTCTGGTTGCATGCTGGATGCTGCAGGCAAGCACTCGGTAGCCAGAGTCATCAAGATTTGTCACAAATCAAGGCGGGCAGGCAACTAATCCAGTTCAAGTGCCGACTCCGACACAGCGAAAATGGCAAATTGCCGTCGCGCTGCTGGCGGTGGAAAAGGAGTTGCTGTTGCCAGTTGCCAGTTGATGTTGCTGTTGCAAGTTGGCGTTGGCGTTGCAGCTCTTAGATACTCATCACTTGAAGAAAAATAACTAAAAAGAACTCACTAGTTTGGTTTTAAACATATTTCTATCCCGACTCAGTACTATCCAGTTTTTTGCCAGTGTAGGAGTTGCAATCCGTGGAGTCGTGCTGGGCAGCTTCCGCATGCCGACAAGTGACTCACAAGTCGGTCTCCAAAGAAGTTCGGTTTTGGCGCGTTTGTTTGCTTGTTGGCCACTCGGCACCGTTATGTTTGCAGATCGTGCTCGTCTCGCGGAGTGAGCTTTATTAATCTCAAGCCAAACTCCTTCAATTTGGCCGCTGAAGATGTTGCCGACGAAGTGCCACACAAGGTCGATCGGTACTAAGGCCAAGCTCAAATTTGCATGGGGTCGTTGATTTGCATCTAACAAATCTAACAATCTCCCCCAACGATTCCAATCTCATTTCTAACACTCTTTTTCCCGTAATTGTTGCAACAAAATTGCACCGGACATTGAATGCCTGATGCAATTGCAAGGTCGGACATTCCTAAAGGCCAACTGCAAATTGGCCGTACTCCCTAGTTCAAGCCACAACAATTTGGCCAGCAATTGGCCAAAACTATGCCATAGAATCGATAGGCAATAGGCACACGTGTTAGGGTTTACTGGCAGCAGCAGCAGCAGCAACATCAGATTTATGAGGATGACGTGCAAAAGCAAGAACACTGAGAAAAAAGAAGTAGTAAGATCTTATTCTATAGAATTTCTAGAATCTTTATATTTCCCTTAGTGTACAGAACAAAAGCGGGCTCAGTGAAATAAAAATAAAATAACAAAAAATGCAATTTGCAATTGCTGCTGTTGGTGGACCGTTAAATGTGTGGCACTGCGGCGATCGAAGAACACAAAACCAAATTAACGCCAGGCAAAAGCAACACCAACTGCAACAGCAACAGCAACATCCAACTGCAACAGCAATTGCAATTTCAATTGCAATCGAAGAAATGTAATGCGATAAGCTTGCTGGAATTGAGAGAGGGGAACCCTCTCTAGATGGACGCGTGAGGTTGGGGTCAAAACTGCGGCATTCTGATGGGGGGGACCTAGAATGGGGAGATCGCAGGATCGTATCGCTATGTATCAGATCGGATCGGGTTCGAGAACCAAAGACTCCTCTGTGTGCTAAATGTCAATTTGATACCATGGCCAGAATCCAATTAAAGCTCCAGGCCGAACAGTTGCAGCTTGCAAATTGCAAATTGCCATCGATCTATGGCTGGGATCTAGTCGATGTCGATGGGTCGTCGTTAGATGCGTGCGCCAAAGTGTATTTGTGGGTCATGGTACAAATCTCGTGCAGACACACGGACAAGAGACATCGGACACGACAGCCGACACAAGATAGCTCTCTGACAAGAGACACCTTTTGATATGCTAACGAAGGCTTTTCCATTTCCATTGCCTTATGCCTGATGCCTGATGCCCTCTCCTCTCCTCTCCTCACCCAAAACTCGTGCCCCGACTGTCAAAATGCTGCCCATGGTTGGCCTAGCTGGGAAATTTTCCCACCCTCCATTGAGGCCGTCTGCCTTGGTAAAATGTAAATTTTCGTTTGTTCGCCGCTTTGAGTGCCACACATTTATATTAGAGCTATGCCCCAAGCAGCTCAGCTGCAGCTGGGCCGCAATTTGTGCAACTGGGGGGAATATGTATAGAGATGAGAAATGGAGAACGAGAACTGGGAGTTGCAAGTTGCCAGATGCAACTGCCACTGCAACTCCACGCATGCGCAAAGGCAACTCTGCTCCCCTGGCAATTTCCCAGCCTGTCCGCTGGCTACCCTTTGTGGGCATTTCGACCTGGCCAAGAAGTAGGAGTTGCCAGGTCCCCTCCTCCTCCCCTCACTATGCAAATACAGATACCACTTCACGCATGGAGTCTTCTCCTGGACCTGAATACATTTCTCATAACGCACATGGCCATTCCATTGTTGGATGAAGATGCATTGCTAGCCTTGCCCTTGCCAGCATTTCCAAAAAAAAACAAAAAAATAGAAAGAGAAAAATCTTGCAAATTTCCCATGACCGATATACGCCCCTGGCCAAGTTGGCCAAGTTAACAAGCGCCTGCCTCGTTTTGGGTAAAAAGTTTCTATCTCCCGAGTGCAGCAGCTTTTGGCCACTTCATTCACAAATTGAATTTGTGTCACACACATGGCCACTCCGCCAGCTGGCTGGCTGGCTGCTGGTGACCACCCCTTTATTTGGTCTTAACCCAAATACTGAAATGCTCAAGAAATACGAAAGAATAAAAATTGTTTACCATTTAGCTACGGCGGAATAATTACCGCAACAAGTTGCTGCTTACTTTCTGGATGTTGATGTTGATGTTGATGCTTGCTAGTTGCTGCCACAGCAGCAACATGTTGCTCGTGTGTGTGTTGCTAATAGCTTTAGAACAAGTGCCATTTTGGCCGGCAACTAATAGCCAGTTTGTGTCGCTTCCGTTGTCAGTCAGTCGGGCTCACCATCACCATAATCATCAGCATCATCATCATCATCATCATCTTAGCCATCGCAGCAGTGTGAGATTATCATTATTGTTATTGTCGCTCGTCATGTCAACTCGTCATCAACATGCCGCTTCTCTGGCTGAAAAGCAGACGAGGATGCTGATGCTACTGCCTTGGCATTGGGAATCATCCAGCATTCAGCATTCAGCATCTAGTATCCAACATCCATCGTACAGCAACCCAGCAACCATGGAGCAATCTTTCAACCTGGCCGAGGCGGCTTCGTGTGTTGCATATCCCCTTGTTATTTTCGCTGTTGCCACGGCACGCAGCAATGCTATTTGTGGCTCCCGGGGAAGCCCCCCTGCCCCCTGACTCCTGCCATGCCTGCATTTTAATGAGCACAATTCGCGCATTTATGATGAGCCCCAGCCTGAGTCGAGCATTAGCCGATTTTTATTTGCCTGTTTCGTTAGCGAGCGAGTGGAAGCAATCTGCGGCCTGGGCGCTGGGGGAAACTGAAACCACTCGGATTTCAAGAGAATGGCGGAAGGGGAAGCTGGATGGATGTAAGGCCCCCTAAGATGGGGTAACCAGATGGTATTGGTATTAATCCTGTCGCAGGTTCTAGATACCATGGTTAGTCAGGGTTAATCTGATCGATAATCGTGCCAAAGTAGGAGTTTCCAAAGAAGGAAAGTGATATAGCCATCGCTTAAAAAGAAAATCCTGAATAAAAATTTCCTCGTAAAAACCTCCTAGTAGTGTATTCTATTACACTTATTTTGGGCTGAAAATCCTGACATTAATTTCAACACTCTCTGGCACTTTCGACCCCATTGCGCTTAGGTGGAAGTTTTATTGCTTTATGGAATGTATCAAATTGGATAACATACCCAACAGCCACGCCCCCTAACAAACACAAGCACTCAGACCAGCACTCAGCATCCAACCCCTCTAAAAAAAGAAACCTTTTGGGGGAGCAACCCCTCAATGGAATCACGTGTTGCATCTCATGGGACTTGATTAAAGTAACATAAAGCAAATAAAAGCCGACAAGCGAACTGGGCTAATAAATGAAAATATGAAGCGTATGTGTCGCCGGCCATTCGATGCCATTATAGGGCGACAATAAAATAAACCTAACTATATACCCAGCCTGGCCAGTTGTCAACCGATAAGCCGTGATATGTGGCGGTTGCCGCCTGCTAATTATAACGATGGGATCACCGGATCTTCGGATCAGCAGAGAGGGGGAAACAGTCTGGGTGGGGTGGGTTGAGGTGTTGTCCAATTTCTGGAAGTTTTCCTTTTGCGTGCTCGTGACATTTTCAATCAGCAGCGGAAAAACTTGGCAGGATACTTTTGGGCATTCGAGTTACAGATACAAATCCAGCGATTTCTGACCTCTGAAAAAGAGAGCATGAGGAAGTTGCCGGAGGGTTGAGTTGGCGGGACAGGACGGGCATGTCAGGGAAAATTGCACATCTGTCAAATCGGCAAACAAGTGATTTCCGCAAACAATTGAAGAAAAACAGCCAGTCAGGACCAAAAACGAAACGGGACAGGACAGGACATACGAGGAGGGGTGCTGCCAGTGGTGGTTTTTCGGTTTTGGTATTTGGCGGCTCACATGTCAACTCTCCCACCCGCCCCGAAATTTCTGCTTTTCTGCTGTTTGTGCACGTAAATTGCTTTTGTAAGGCCATTGAAAAATTTTCAAAAAAAAAAAGAGGGAAAAGTAAGAAGAAAATAAATTGAGACACGCTGGTTTGAGGGGGCCATGCGGCATGCGCCTTGTCATGCTTTTTTAATGAAGTGCCAGTCGTTTAAGGAACATATTGCCGACCGATTTGATTGTTATTTAAGGGTTAAACGGGCTGTCCGCAAGAATGTCAAACCCATTCCCCCAATGCCAGTCCTTTTGTTAGCACGTACTAAACTCCCGTATCCCACTTTCATCTTCATTGCAGTTACAACCACAAGATGACAAGAAGACGTTCGAGTCCGCCGGGACTCGAGGAGCTGCTGTATCTGGCGCTCGTCCTACTGGCCATGGCCCTGATACCCACACAAGCCGGTAAGTGGTTTATTATGTCAACATAAATTATGTTTAGCCCAGCTATCCAGCTAGCTAAGTACCTAAGTACTTTGCCTGCACAATCCGCCCATCTGTCCTTTCTATTTTGATTATTTTGCCATAAATCGCCTGCAAGTCCATGGATTTTCGCACTAATTAAAGCCATTGTGGCAAATTGCCATCAGCTGGCAACAGCTGCCGTTTTCACTTGACCAGGGTCAGGGGTCATTCTAACTGACACTGACACTGACCGAAAGTCTGTTGCATTTTCATGGGGAGCGAGAAAATCTAATTAGGTACGGCTCTTCGGGGTTATCCCAAATGTCTTTAATTGAAATCGAGTGGAACTGAGCGGAGGCGGCTGGGCCATAATTAAAAGCAAGTGCTAATGGCCTAAACCATCATTACCCGTCAACTGCCCATCTGCATCGACCTCATCTGGCTAAAAAAAAAAAAAAGAACACAGAGAACTGAGCAATGTGTTAACTTTCACATTTACTCGGGCAATAAAAGGCGATGCAACGGTGTCTTCCTGGTTCTTGGGCGTGTTCGATTTAACGACTTGTTTAAACAGAACTTAGACTCAAATAAACCCAAAAAAAAGAGAGAAGAACACTGCATTTTCCACGGGCTGGGCTTTAAAGAATATCGGTCAACGAATGCCAAAACCGAAACGTAGTTACTGCCACTCGAGGGTACCCACCAATCATCCGGTCCATAACCGGAGAAGGCCCAGAGTCAGAGCCATTGTTTAATGGGCTTTCAATAAACAGGCAATGGCAATGGTTCGACAGCCAAAACGAACTGAGAAGAACTCCGGGTATTCAGCTCTATGGACTGACTGACTGGCTGACTGACTGATTTGGCCCAGTCAAAACGATAGGCGACAATAGTCAGCTCGTTGACCCACATTCATGGGTACTCCATGCTCTCAGCTCCACGATACCACGATGCATGCATTCAGTATTCAGAATTCTTGGAATTTTCATTAACACATGTCCGAGCCGACATAGCTGCATATGGAAATGGATCTCTGACAAAGAGGGAAATAAAGTGGAAAAGAATTTTGTGTTTTGTGAATGGGCAAACGAAGAGGCGGAAAGCTGTGGATAGAACCCATGGTGTTTTAAACATAGATTGCCCCGCCAGGGTTTCTCACCTACTTATTGATTATTACACACAGTCACAAATCGGTAACACTAACAAGCCGGGCCAACAAAACGGCCTAATGGACTCGGACTCAAAGACGGACATGGGGCCGCCAGCTTTGGACTCTTTGGGTTTGATGAACTTCGGGGTTGGCGGCATGAGAAGAGTTTCCCAGCAGGGTCTGGTAATTGAATTGTTCCATTATAAATATGAGCATGACTCAACAGATACATTTGTATCTCCTCCAACTATATGTAGTTCTAACTCCGCCGCCGACAGCTGCGAGCCATAAATCAATGGAACTAGCGCAAAATGTCAGATACCATAAGTATTCCTATGCGATGATATGATATATAAACTTGAGATACATACATACTTCACAACAAGTGGCATTTGCGTCATAACAAAAAGCCAAAGCGTCCATCGATCGATCGATCTATCCATCGATCCATGCCAATTGTTTGCGCAGCCATCAAGCTGGAGATAACCAAATTGCTTTTGAGAGTTTGTCGAGGCAACGTTATGCAATTTCAGCTGGCCATCAAGTTCGAGCCTTAATTCAAGCTCAAGGTCGATAAAAACGAGCGATCTTCCCAACCGGTAGCCGCCACACATTATCATTATTTTATAAGCCACGAAGTGAAGACGCCAATTTCAATTTGGCTCGGGCTTTTTTTTTTTTTTGCTCGTTGGGGCGTTTTCATCAATCAACTTTGAACGTGAGTTCGTTTCTTGTTTTTCTCATGCTTATTAAAGAATCTCGGGGAGGGGAAAGAACACCTGCTCTTCGCGGGGTCTTCCAATCTTCTGATTCTTCCAGATTCTTCTTCTACTTTGGACTGCCAATTGACACCTACACCCATGCTGGTGGTCACTGAACCTTGGCCATCCTCCAGCTAGAGCTCCAACTCCAGCTCGTTCTACCAGCTATCCGATTTCGCCACTCAAATATATTTTATGTGGCCCATTGCCAGTTTTTTGAGATTTCTTAATTTATAACCAATTACAAAGGCATTAGTGCGCCGCACGAAGATCTTCAATAGTTTTGTTTATTGCGCATATAAATCGCCGCTTTATGGGCTTCATTTTTATGGCATGGTTTTGCGGAAGCATCTAACTTTGAGGGAGCCCTGATGCGATGATGTTCGCCGATGATGTGCCTAATTAGCTTGTATTAGCCGGGCTGGTGCTCGATGCCGGTTAGAACTTCCAGCCAGACTCCTCCAAGAAACGGCTCAGGTACACAGGTACACATCATTATGGTTTGATATTAATTGCACGACCCGCTGATGTCATCAGCAGCATGCGGCATCATCATCGGGCCCTGAAGCATAAGCGTTAATCAAGATCCAGTCATCGGCTTAGCCACGCGCATATAATTAACATTTCTGCCACGGACCAGGTTCAATGTCAAGTGACCAGGCGGATCCGGCTTATCGGGCTTATCGTGTTGATAGCACCGTATGGTTATGCTGTGACTCTCATCCCATCCCATAACCATGAATGCTATACCATAGCAACGGTTTACCCGGCTTCTTCCTACTCCACCTCCTCGTAAATATTTCATATATGCAAACACTACGACACCGGGGGCCATCCCATTCCATACATTGTCCGACTCCAAGTCCGAGTTCCAAGCTGTTTGCTGTTTGCTGTTTGCTGGGCAAACAAAAAACCGGCCAAAGTCGCTGACCATTGACCGATATGGCGATGATGGCGATGCCGAAGATGTGTTGGCTGCGTGGCTGTGGAATTTCGTAGCCACTTAGAGAACAAGTACGCGAGCCGAAGATCACGAACTTGCGGGCCAACCCGCACGAACCCCAAAGAACGGGTCTGCCTGGGATTTGGGATCTGGCATCTGGCATCTGGTATATCCCCAATAACCAATAACCAATGGCCAATACTCAATCCTTGATCCCAAGACTACCGGTGGCATCTAAACGTGAGATTCGCCAATGGAGGCGGAGAAAACTTTCAACAGTGACACAATTAGAGGCTCCCTCCCACCGAGGGATACCCCCTATTTCGGCTCCCATGCTGACCGTCTTGGCCATAAATAAGCATTTATGTTAAGCGGCCAGACGGCTTTCCTTTCGTTTCATTTAACATCGCGTGGCCCACCAACGTAGCCTCCTCCAAATGTCCAACTATTTGTCAAAATCGTTGCGGTGTGAAGCCAAATCTAAGCTGTGACTGATGGGGGGTACACTAAGAAAAACCTTCTGGCTACTTAATTAAGAGGGTTACTTGAAATATTAGACTACATTATAACTTTTCTCTTAGTGTAACTCCCAAGACTGTCTCCGATTTGATATGATAAATTGACCATGGGCTTGAGACACTCATAAAAGAGGCATTTGTTCGGCTTAAATGCCCAAAGACAGAGCCACTTAGTTAGCGCTGATCCGACCCACGCAATTCCCGCATATATTTTTGAGGGGGCGAGGGCAATGACCAGACCGCCAAAGGGCCACCGAGTTCCGAGCTCCAAGTGCTTCGCTGCACTTGATTCTCCAATTAAATGGCCAGAAGCCGGCAGTAACAGCAGCAGCACCAGCAGCAGCAGCAGCGTGTGAACCAGAATTGGAGGCGGAAACTTGGAAGGCAGTCAGAAGAGTGGCAGGCACAGAGTTTTTTCTGATTTTATCAGCATTAAATTCTCGACTTCCTGCGACAAGGTCGGGGGGCTAATTTCATTTAAGTAAATAAGCTTGCGGTTAACTGCCGGCAATTTGAAGTGTAACGGTAACGTCGCTACGTCCACAACCACAATCACATAGCCGAAAATGCTTTGGTCTAAGTCATGGTGTTACGGCCAAATGGAATTACAATTGCAATTACACAATTTGGCTATTAACGCCTCGGCTCTCTCGGGAGTCGCCTCCATGCCCACCACCTCGTGCACACCTTTCACCTTGACAATGAAATGGTTTCCAATGATTGCTGTAATTTCTATTTGGCTTGGAGAAACCCACAATGGCAGTTTCGAAATGCAAATGAATATCTAGGCTGTTTAGTAGAGCAAAACGCCGGCTCAGCTGGCCCATACGTAATACAATACAAGTTGAGATTTCTCAGGGCGATACAGCACGATATACAGACACCTCTCCAAAGCTATACCAGTCTATATAGCTTGTGTTTTGGTTGTGGTTGTGGATGTGGATGCCATAATCATGGCTCATATTATGTATGCTGTTTCTGCTGTTGCTGTTGCTGCTGCTGCTGCGACTACTGCTGCTGCTATTTCCCTATTATTGTTTGATGTCATTGAACTTGAACTTGTCGTGGACGCCGGCAAAACACCAGTTGGCTATTTCTGTTTTGGCATTTTATGCAATTTCTCGGCGTAAATATGCTAATTCGGATTTGTATAACACGTTGTCGGTCCAAAAACGTGTTCGAAATGTTAATTAAACGGCTAACGCTGTTGGCTTTTATTCATATTTATGGCAATTAGCAGCAGCCCCCTGACCCAATTTGCCATTCTGTCTCTGCTAATTGCCGTTTATGACGGGCGTGGTTGACCAGGAACCGGACGGATTCAGACGGTACTGGATTTGGACCCTTGCCTTCCACTCATTGCCATTTCCCGGCGAATGCATCTCGGCACTCAATTAGACATTCTGCCTGGCGCCAACTGCTAATCGCTGTCTAAGATGGCCAGCACGCTAACAAGCCCAAAAGACAACACAATGATGGCAAACCGATGGTGATGTAATGGAGACGTGGAAATGGACATGGACATGGACGGACACCCGACAGCGCCTGGCCAGTGCAAAAGTTTTCGGTTCGCTGGATGCCCAGAAGCTACACTGGGAAAGGCAAATCTGAATATTCTCATGTGATTT